CCCATTGCTAGTGATATGTATAAAAACAACAGGTGGTGAGAGCTGTCAGTATTTAACTTCCTATTAAAATTGCTATATTGTGACCAATAAATTCAGTTCTAGCTCAAACCATATAAAACCACTTCCATTTAGTCAAACAATTACTTTGCATATAATAATGCTATGCGAATAACTGTAAAAATAAAATTTCTTCACTTGTGAGTGGAAATTCCAATGATTCAATTTACAAACTAAATATTCAGTGTCAACAAGCTATTGTGTTTGGATAAATCATGCAAATACAAGTAAATGTAGTTGATACAAACAGGTACAGCTACTATGGCATTTCATACTTGCAAATTTACTCAGAGCATTTAGATGTATACTTTTCATCTGGCAAAAAGCTGAAACAATGATTCTTTTTTTATCAATAGTAATCATCAGCTTTCTACATAAAAATAATTGAATTATAAATTTAAATATAAGCAAGTGGAACCAGAGATTACAGTAACAGCTACACATTATATTTAGTATCTCCATCAATATCAAAATATTTACACTAATAAATATCAAAATTACCAATATTTACATTTGTTATTCCTCTGATATCAAAACTGAAAAGATCATACTTAGTTATTAGTAGGTATACAGATAAAGAGTATATATCTATATTATAGTATAACTACATTCAAACAGTTGTCAGGGAAGAAAACCTGAAGTGGTTAGTATCTAAATGAAAAACACAATATATACATGAAACCATTTCTTTGATTATGAACTAAAAAACTGTGCTCCTCTTTGTGCAATACATAAAATTTCTACATAATACTTCAATTTACTTCCACTAGCCTTTTTCAGGGTTCAACAACAAAAACAATTTATTCACAACTCAGTTAATAAACAAATTCCTGGCCAGGATTTTACACCAATATTAATAAACAATTTATCATAAATATTAATAAATCAATAACAATGGAGGAAGGAAAAAGAACCCGAAATAAAAAAACTTAATTCCAAAAAAAATTACAGCAAATACAATATTCAAGCAATACCTTTCAAAATCGATATCAATAACAATATTGAGATTTTGTTTGTTTGTTTGTTTTGAATTTCGCGCAAAGCTACACGAGGGCTATCTGCGCTAGCCGTCCCTAATTTAGCAGTGTAAGACTAGAGGGAAGGCAGCTAGTCATCACCACCCACCGCCAACTCTTGGGCTACTCTTTTACCAAC